AGCTAAGAGGTGGGGGCCCCGTCACTTCTCACGTTCAGCTCGCCTGCTGCGGGGGGGGGGCCACGTTTACCGCTTCATATGGCACCGGGTCCCGCTGTGTCTCCCGCTCAGATGAGTACATACACATATAAATATCCATGTTTTCAAGTGGCTTAAGCACATGCTGTATTTACACAGGCATGTGTCCGCCAGGCCAGACAGCCGAGTCCCCCGACGATAAAGACCGTTCTGCTTTTGGCTTCTCGCGAGCCCGCCAACCACACCAGCCCCGGGGACGGTTACCCTGCAGATTGTCCAAGATGGGCCACAGGTCCTGCGGTGCCCAGCTCTGGCACGGTCAGCTGGAAAGCCCATTGTAAGTGGCCACACCCGCTTCAGTCCTGCCGCACTTCCAGCCTAGAAGATCGACGTCAGTCAGAACAGAGCGCGAAGGGCTCATTCCAGTCCAATTACCGTATCTTCTGGTTGTCATGGGAACCACCTGCGATAAAAACATCAGCCCTCAAAATGATCTGGCAAATTACAGGCGACCTCAGGGCATTCGTGGTTATGCAGGGCACTCAGCCAGTGCCCAGTGGACCACAGCGCTAGGGCGGAACTGCTGCACTGGCAAGCAAACCCCCCCCCCCCCAGTAGTCTACATATTTTAATCAGGGTGCTGCGGTCCGCTTCAAACAGCATGGGGAGGAGGGAATTTACATTCAGTTACAGCTGTGCAAGTCATCCAGGAACAAACCTGCCAATACAGTACACACCTCTACGGGTTGCTACGGCGATGTAAGAACCACGTGAACCTGGGATTGGTGAAGGGGGACAACTGAATCTGGGGGAACCTGGGACACCAACCTAAAGACACCCAGAGGGATGGTCAAATACAAACCCTGTTGAACCCGAATAATCAGACATTTGCTCCTGAAAGCCTCACCCATCACCCCACCACAACAGACAGGAGTGGCCAGCATATGCTGACCACGCCCCCCCCCCCCCTTACATCTAGGCTTCACCAAGCCTGGAAAACACCAATTGTGTCTGACCAAACATGCTTTGATCTCCTGCGAACAAAGCAGGTGTGTATGAGTGTGTGTATGTGAGATAGAATGTGTACATCTGGATACATATTTAAACCCCCTCCCACCCCCCCACAGAGCAGTGGAAAGTTTGTTTGCGATACACAGAAGTTTGCAGGGGCCAGGTGAAATTAAACTGCCAATCAGAGAGGCAGAGCAGGGACATGGCAGCAGTCGGGCTAATTCCCATCTCTGCTAACGACCTCTCGTGCCGCCAGACACCCTCCCACCCACCGCACTGCGCCTCTTTGCCGGGGATTTCCACAAATCCATCTGTGAAACATTGCATCCTGCCAAGGAACCAGAAAACCATAAGACTCTCGGCACTGTGATCTAGTGGTGCACTGCAACTCCACGGAGCACTATGACATCAATGAAGCCCTGCAATACCAGTGAAGCACTCCAATACTAGTGAAGTACAGCAATACCAGTGGACCACTGCGATACAGTGTAGCACAACTAATCAACAGATGACTGCGATACCAGTGGGGCACTGCTACTATCTCAATGGAGCACTGCAACTCACTCAGTGGAGCATTGCAATACCCGGTGAGCACTACAACTAATTCAGTGGAGCACTGCGATATCATTAGAGCACTGTGACTCAACGGAGCACTTTTGTATCAGTGAAGCACTGCTATACCAGTGGGCTCAATAAAGCTCTGTGATCCAGTGTTAAATAGAGGAGCACTTCTGGGGCACAGAGCACCCTCGACCATATTCCATGTACTGTAGGAGCCTGTAGATAGACAGGCTGTGGGTAGCAGGCTGTGTTAGATGCTTCTCTCAGTGTGAATAAGGACAGAAGGGTTGCGTGACTCCTGCCCTAACAGGATTAGCCAGATCCACCCTCAGCCACAACCCCAGCTGCCTGCGTGTGAACCGAATGAGAGGCAGTTAACGGGCCAGGAATCCCCAGGTCAGAATCCACCTCCACAGGAGGGTCCTCGCCGTTATTTGGATACCAAATTGCTACCACGTGCGTTGTGCTATTTAGGAACGCACTGCGTGCGTGTAAATGTGTGTGCAGTAAAGTGTGGGGCGAGGTCCCAGCAGCCTCCGGTACACGTCCCCTCAGCGGCCATGCACAGACAGGGCAGGGACTGCGTCTCAGGACCAGAGAAGCCAGCGCTCCTCCACACACCGGCACTGTGTACACGGCCAGGGCTGTCCCTCCGCGGTGACCCAGGTTCCAAAACTGGGTTCCTCCCTTCCCCATTGCTCTACAGCACCCCCTACAGAGCTTAAAAATCAGTGAGGGGAATCAAGTGAACGCTCTTCGCTGCGTGAGATCATTGGTACAGGAGACCAGAGACTTACAAGAAACGGTGTAACTAATCGTTCCAGGTTGATATACTGTGGGAAAGTGCATTAATTAGCCATGATTGAAGTATTAGTTAGACACCTAACCTGATACTAATAAGCCATTTCAAATCCATTTACCTTTTGCTCATGTTCATTGAAATGATCATGTGCAAACACATCAACTGATTTAATTGTTTTGAACTCTGCCAACCAACCTGCAATTTCTTTGCCAAATCAAGCAATCACAGTCATCCACTTTCCACAAAAATTGTAATCCTTGTAATTCTTGGTTCTAATTATGATTTAAAAAAATTTAAATCTATGCAGGCTATTCACTTTGTAACTTAGTCAAGCAGAATTAATTAGTAGCTTAGCCGTACGGGTGGGAGGGGCTCATCTGCCCCCCCATCAGCAAACACAAACTGAGAGCGGGCAATGACCCAGGATGGGCTCAGTCGCCCAAACTGACCTTCCTTGTGGGACTTCCTGCTTCTCAAAGGTTTACGACTGTCTGGTAGCAGTACGTCCCAGACCACGAGGCAGAAGAGAGACCACCTAGCCTGTTAGATGGATATCGGAGCCAAAACGGAGACATTGGGAATCACTGGCCGATTATGTGGCTCATCGGACACCTAGAGGAAGCTGACTTCATTCCATACCCCCAAAAACATGCACACACATATCATCATATCATATATATTTAAAATTTAAAATACGGAACGGCAGTCATGGGAAGGTTTTCACTGCTTCCCTGGGCGTGTGTAAATAAGAGTAAATCACAGCACTGCTGGACCAGATCCAGGCCCCCTCTTCGGGATATGCGGAATGATCCAGAGGTGGGGAGATGAGGGGAATGCCATTGGGTGGGGGAGGGTTGGTGGTTGCAGCACAGCTGGTACCAGGGGAACCCAAACCAACATAATCCTGCACCAAGCTACAGCCCCCTACATCCCCATCATGGGAATCAGTTTCCCGTAAATTAAAGGTGCTGTACAAATTAACATTCCAGACCGGGGGGGGGGGTCTGGCACTAAACCTGGAACAGCAAGGGGGTCCGCTGAGACATATGTAGGTTCCGGTTCTGGATCCAATGCTCTGGGACAGCAGAGGGCTTTCGTGTCACCCAGTTTGAGAGTCAGCCGCCCCAGCGCCCGCCATTACATTCCAGCAGAATAACTGCTCCGGGGAAAGATAATTAGGCTGAGATTAAAGGGACGGCCGCAGCGGACTCGGGATCGGACAACATGCCGTATTATCCCTCGTCCCCCCCACATGCAGCGATCACATGCAACCTGAGCTGACAGTAATGCCCCGGAAGCCTTCAGACCCATGGGTATCGCTGACAGGGACACGTCAGGGCCTGGAGGGTCCGGGGACAGGACGAGACGGACAGGAAGTACGGGAGCTGTGAGCCTCCAGGGGCGTCTGTCGGCTATCTGTAAATATTTGCAGTATGGGGAATGGCAAGTTAGGTAGGGGGTGAGTCAGCAAATCCAGAGAATTTCCTGGGGTAAGTCAGGCCAAGCTTGTCGCACACACACACACACACACGTGAATATGCTCACGCACAAACCGTACAGCCCTGTATCACCCAGTCTACTCCCGCTCTCCTCAAAGCCAGCTGCAGGGTTCACCAGATGACATCCTCCTGCCCCTCTCGGCCTGAAGACAGGTGCTTACGCTCTTTTGGAACTGCCCGGCCCGGCTCCGGTTCCCGACAACGCGCGGCACTTCCAGCTGGTCGGACCCCAGCTCGGCAGGGCTGGCGTTAAGGGCGCGCCAGTTCACGTCACGCTAAGCCGGGCTGGACCGTAACGCCACATGACACACAGTGGGTAAGAGCCGGGCCATAAAAAGGCTGTGAGCCGGCCGGCTGGCGCTGAAGCAGATGGGGACACGTGCCATCCAGCGCTTAAATGTGCCGATCGTCAGAAACACCAGGCTTATAATCCCACAAGCCACTTGGAATTTTCAGCCTGTTTCCAGAGTTTGGAAGCAAACTGGATGAAGAGGGCGTTTCCTCTGACAGCGTCAGTGTCAGTGAGGGTTTATATGGGACAGCGTGGGGGAGGGCAGGGGAGGGTGGTTCTGACAGCGGCCAACATGCCCAGGAGAGAGAACTACCCTCTGCAGAGTAGGGTGTCAGCCATGCTGGTGCAGGTGAGGTACTGCTGAATGAATGGACGCATTTTTTTTTTTTTGAAAATGACCCAGAGCACCAACTCCCTGCCGCTTCCTGTGAATATTTTCAAAGTGACCTCAAAGTTAGAAAGCTCAATCCAAACCAACCCCCCCCCCCCAAAACAAAAAATTTAAAAATCTCAGTCTCCCCTCCACGTCTCATGTGACCTTCCCCAAAAACAGACAGTGAATCCCGGGCTGAAGGCTAAAAATCAGGAGAAGTGAGGGAGAATACAGAGGCTGCACTAAAATTCTGACCTCCTGCCCAGGTTCCGAGCCAAACACCCCCAGGTGCACGTTTGCTCCTGCCCCACACACCGCGGCAGGCGATACTGACATGAACGGCCACGAGTCGCGACCCCCCATCATACACCCATGAGGCTGACTGCTTCTCCAGCTACGCAGAAGCAGCTGACAGTGGCCGGAGAGGGAGAGGTGGTCACTCACAGGCGGCCCAGTTTGGGCGTAGACTGGAAGAGAAGCTCCGGAAGAACCTGCATCTTGTTCCGGTTCAAACGCCTATGGGGTCGAGAGATAGAGAGAGAGAGAGAGAGAGAGAGAGCAGTGAGGGAGGAGAGAGAGCAACAACGACAAACTAAATACCTGTGGTGTTGATGAGAATTGTTAACACTGCAGGTCGTTAAGGTTCTGATCGATATGTTTGCGGATGTTGGGTAACTGGGTGCCAAAACACCCCATGGAAACTGGGTTTTTTGTTATCATACAGATCTTGGGGGAACTGACTGAGTAGCAGTGTAACAATGGATGAATCTCTTTTCAGTGGGTGTGTGTTTGAGAGACTGCTGCAGTGCCTGTATGTGTGAATATCCAGAAGAAACAGGGACGCCGGGGGGCAGCTAAGTCATGGCCAGCCGACAGGTCGACACTGATGCTTATACAGCAAGGCTGTCATTGGACAGGGGTGTGAATCAGGCCATCAGCGATTGGCTGGTACTGGGTATTTGTCCCTGAAGGTGTTGAATGGTCACTCAGAATTACACCCCCACAGCTGCGCATGGGACAGAGGTGGGGTCATATGGTGGGGGGGGGGAAGTACTGTGAAATTCCGAACGTCAGTGAAAAGTGGGCTGAGAGGACAACGGTACCCAATGGGAAGGGAGGACTAGGGGTCTTGGCGTTTACCTGCCGATCAGATAGCCATGGGGGGGGGGGGGGGGCACACTAAGCAACACACCCATCTAGAATCAGGCCTCCCTGCTGAGTGTGAAGCTGCTGCTCATATGATGCCCACCTGCACGTTTTTGTGCCAGGATTCCCCCCCCCCACACAATGCTCCTCACAGGAGCAGCTTAACATTCACAGTATTTATGCAACTGCTAAGCAACAAATCGCACAGCAGAGCTGACTGGTACAACAAGGGAGAGCAGGCTCTGTCTGGATTGGTCTGTCTGAACATCGAGGCTCCGTTTCACCTATGAGGGTTTATCTGAACTGTCATTCCATTTATCTGAACTGTGGGTCTATCAGGCTTGTTTTTCATACCCTACCATCCTGGGTAATGTTCTTCTCCAGGTCAGCGAAACATTGCAGAGTGCAGGTTAAATGGAGACATGTACTAATATACCTGGACAAACATCGCAGCATAGATGGAGTACGATGTAGACGGGGAGTGGGTGGAGCATCAGGGAGGAGTGTGGGGTGGGGAAAGTCACGGATGCGGCATCAGCGCACTCAGGAGACCAACACCAGGAGATACTCACAGCCTCTCGAGCTGCTTCAGGTCCTGGAAGGCTCCCCTCTCGATCACACTGATCTGGTTATCCTCCAGGTGCCTGCAGGACGAGGAGAACGACAGAGCAGTTAGCACCACCATCTCCAAACCCGGGGCTCCCTCATCTCCGAATCCACGGCCCCCGCAAGCTCTGAATCCAAAGCCCCCGCAAGCTCCAAAGCCGCAGCCCCAAAATCTCTCACCCCATGTTATCCTGGTCCTGCACCCCATGTTGCGTTTCACGTTCCATAAAGTTTTCCAGATGAAACCTGCCAGGAGCATATCTCCACAGATACTCTTTGTTTAGATTGCAGTCCTTTTAGATTTAGGCCAGCATGGAGTGCTGGATATGAAAAGCACATGGACGTTCAGCAGGGTAGCTGAACATCTCTTGATAAGCCAAGCCAAAAAAATGGGAAATTATCCGTCACTCGCAGTGTGGAATTCCAGTTTGGCAGATATGGGGGCGGTTATAAATGGCCTTTAAAACAAATGTTTACGTGCATGTGACCATTTTACAGTCATTAATCCATGTTTTTTGTCACATTATTTTGTCAAGAGCAGACGATGAAGTGGGCTCCACTGAAGGGTCTCTGAGGGGCTACCGTGAAATGCAACACGGCTTTGAGCTTGGGGTCCATGGAGAACCCCCTCCCTGAACCAGCCCCTGCTGCTTTGGCTCCAACTGTCTCCGGGTAGAAGCTGGAACACTGGGCCCACACAAACCACACACCCAGACAAAAATATCAAGGTCTCATCCTCAGTCCAAGTCCAGGAGATCGCCAGCAATACTGTCAGCTGGGAACAAGGCGTGGAGCTGCGTGGGCTAAAACTTGGGGCTGTCCGGAATCTCATTCCAACCCGAACCCTTACAGTTGAGTCTGTCCAGAACACGATGTAACCTAAACAATCGGGGCAGCCCAGAATCTCCATCTAACCCTGATCTGAATAGTCGAGGCTGTATGGAATCATGATATTCTGAAGTGTAATTGCAGGGGATGTCCAGAATCTTGATCCAACCTTAACAGTCGAGACTCTCCGGAATGACAATCTAACCCTAACCTTAACAGTCGAGACTGTCCGGAATGACAATCTAACCCTAACCTTAACAGTCGAGACTGTCCGGAATCACAACCTAACCCTAACCTTAACAGTCGAGACTGTCCGGAATCACAACCTAACCCTAACCTTAACAGTCGAGACTGTCCGGAATCACAACCTAACCCTAACCTTAACAGTC